GACTTTCGCACTATACATTAGATTCTTTGACTTTATACATAAGATGAGGAGAATACATATCTTATTGACGAAAACGCATGAGTAAATGAAAGTATAAATTGTATTTTTATTTTCGCAGCTCTCTTTGATTAACTTAAACAAACCTTAATAGTATTTAAATCTAAGTCCTACTAAATACAGAATATTAACTTTGATAACGAACAGTAGAATTAAATATTTTCAAGTATTTCATTTTATACACTTTCTAGGTCCAATCTCAATTAACGAAATCACAACAAGAGAAAGAAGCAAGTGAAAAACAAGTCAATGATTTACTTGTTGAACTCAAACGATATCAAGAAACTATTATTCCTGATTTAGAAAAACAAAATCAAACATTAAAAATAGACATACAAAATCGAGGTACATATGACATATCTTGTTTTTGTTTCTTACCGAAACTTTTCGTTATTTTCATAGATCAATCAGCAAATTCCACACTTACTGAACGTGAATCTCATTATGAACAACAGATAAAAGAATATCAATCAAATATTGCTCAAGCTATTAATGAAACAGAAAAAATTCGAACTGAATTAAAACAAATACAAGAAGAAAATATTTCAAAAGAAAAACAAACCAATGATTTAATTAATACATTAAAACAAGATTATGAAAAACAATGTGAAAAACTTCAAAATGATTTAACTGAATTAAATAATCGAGGTTAAATATTTTTATTTTCTTGAAAACAAAAAAAACGATTTTTTTTGTTTTGTTTCTATAGAACAAAAATTAAATACAACTTTCAATGAACGTGAATCACATTATGAACAACAAATAAAAGACTATCAAAATAAACTCGATCAATCAACACATGAAATTCAAACTGTACAATCAGAATTAATAAAATTACAAGAAGAAAAAACTATCAATGAGAAAAAATCTATTGATACAATAAATACATTAAAACAAGATTATGAAAGACAATATGAAATTCTTAAAACTGAATTAACTGAATTACAAGATCGAGGTTTGATTCGGTTTTGTTTTGTTTTTTTTTATTTTGTCTATCTTTCTCTTCTATTATTATTTAAATAGATCGTACTCAAAATATGGCATTAAATGAACGAGAAGCTCATTATGAAATGCAAATAAAAGAATATCAAACTAAACGAGATCAAGCTATTCGTGAAACACAAGATCTTCGTAATGAATTAACAAAATTACAAGAAGAAAAAACTTCAAATGAAAAACAATTATATGATTCAATTAATAAATTAAAACAAGATTTTGAAAAACAAATTGAATCTTCTCAAATACAAATAACCGAATTAGAAAATCAAAGTTTGTCTCTCTTTTTTTTTTCTCGTTCATTTTCTAACTAATCCATATAATGTGTTTTTTTTTTGCATCTATAGATCGTACAAAAACAAATGAATTCAATGAAAAAGATCAACAATTTAAAGAATATCAATCTAAATTAGATCAATTAAATAGAGAAAATAATGAATTACGTCAACAAATCGAACATAACCAACAAGCAAATGAAATGAAACTAAATCAATTAAAACAAGAATTCAATGAAAAACATCAAACAAATGAACAAACACAAAATGAATCTATTCAACGTGTAAGTCTACTTTATTAAATTTAGGAACAAAATGTTGAATCAATAAAAATAAATGAAATGATCAGTTCGTTATGAATTAAGTTTGTTAATACATTAAAAGATCAGTAAATAAAATTTACTAATACTTAATTAAATTAAAAAGCAAATATAAAAATTAAAATGCAGTTGAGTACAGATGCAACAAAGCCAAGTGTCACGGATAGAGATCAGGATCGCAACTACGAGAAAAGTCATCCCAACCGGAACTAAAAATTTTAGTTAAATATTCTATGGCTTCAAGCGAGTTATCTTATAAATCATCAACCATGGCGTAACTTAAAAGAGATAACCCAAAAAAGTACTAGTCGTCGGCTAAAATTCTGGTGTAGTTTTCTCTAGACTAGAAAAAAATCTGCTGATAAAATTTATATTTTCCGCTAGTCAACTCTGGTTTTTTTACTGGTATAAAATTATCTTTTTACTGGTAATTGTAAATAGTAGACTGACCATTTTATAAATATTGAAAATTCAAGTACTGACCCCATTTGTATAGTTTTTTTTTCTCTTATTTTTAAGACTGAAAATTTAACAAAAGAATGTGAAAATTTAAAACAAATTAATGAAACATTAAAACAGGATTCTCAAGATTTACAAAATAAATATAATGATCTACAAAATGAATATGAAAAATATTCAACATCAAATGAACAATTAAAAAATACAAATGATAATATTGTTAATGAAAAACAAGCTCTTATTGATCAATTAACAAAACAAATCAATCATATGCAACAAGTTCAAGCTGAACTTATTGAAAAACAAATTAGTCAACATGCAGATTTTGAACGACAACATTTAGAAGATAAACAAATTCATGAGAAATTATTAAAAGAAAAAACTGATGAATATGAATCAAAAATGCAATCCATGAAAAGTAAGTTTCTTTTTAAATAAAAGCTATTAGCACAATTCCTGCGGGATTAAAACATAAAAATGCAATGGAGCTATTGACATTATAAAAGAAGGAATTTATCAACATAGGTTTCGATCTGTGATTTAAAGTCAACTGTGTTTCATAGTAAATTCCTGAGTAGCGTTCGGTCTAGTGACTATGCTTAGTGTAGTCTATATGAAGGGAGCTGCGATACATTTACTATCTATCACAGTCTATGACAGAAGAGAGACGTTTCTAAGGTGTCAGTCACCATCTGTGAAAGCCCAGGATGACTCCTAATTTTGCAATATTTTCGTTTCTTTCCAACGATTTGTTGTTTTTGTTCACCCATCCCCAAACAACACTCACTGTTGTATCCAGCGCGAGGGTGACGCCCCTCCGAAAATCGGATTGGCCATCCAGGAGTTTTAAATCGTCCTTCCAGAAGAGAAAATCTGGACAAAATACTCACTCCACAAAATCCAGTCAAATTTAGGAAAAATTTTCCAATCAGCCTCTTGAGTCATTGATCCTCCCCTTAATCCTAGTAACATCGGAACACTCCTGTTGGATAGTTCCTTAGTAATGTCTGTGGAAACACGAGATCCTAACTTCTACCCTAATACTTCAATATGCCTCTTCGACTGTGTTTCAAAAAATCAATATTTTCTAGGTCAATATCTTATTGAAACTGAAAATAGTAATCTTGAACATGAACAAGAAAAAATTCGTTTAAAACATCAACTTCAACAAGCAGTTCAAGGTAATAAGTTATTTTCTAAATAATAATTTAAAAAAGAAAAAACTAAAACAATTATAAATCTTTAAGGAGTTGAGAATAAAAATGATTCAAGTTCAACTGGTCATGTAAAACAACTTGAATACGAATCAGTTGAAGCACGATATCAAATAGAACGATTACAAAAACAAATTGAAGCCAATTCAACTAAAGATGATCGAGCAACACTTGAAGGTCAAATTAATTTTCTTAATGATGTTATTATTGATTTACGTAATACCAATGAACGTTTGAAAAAAGAAATTGAATTTCAAAAAAATCCATTTGTTCAAGATGATGAATTACTTGAAAATACAACAACAACACGAAGAAAATCATCTATTCCTCGACTTTACTGTAAGTTTAAAGATTAAATTTTGTTTTTGTTTATTATATCTATCTGAACATATCTAGGTGACATGTGTGAAGTATTCGATGAACATGATACTGATGATTGTCCAAAACAAAGTTCAATGATAGATGATCAACCTCCACATGATCATCATTCACATGAAAGAGTAATACCACCACCACGACTCTATTGTGAAAAATGCGAAGAATTTGGTCATGATTGTAATGAAGTTGATGAAACATATTAAAAAATTTTTTTTTTCTTTATTTGTATTGCATTAAATTTTTAAAACAGTGATCAAATATTTATCGACTATTTAAAACCAATGTTCTCCTATTCTTCTTTTTTTTTTGTTTTCTTTCGATCTTTACCGAACTATTGAATATGTCCGGTGTTCGACTTATCTTTGTACATTAATTGAGTTATTTCTTCTTTACATTTATTCTTCTTGTTTGCAAATTATGTATTCATTTCTATACGATTTCAACCAGATCGAAGTAGCTAATTACATGGGTTCATTGTACTTTAGTTGTTTTTTCTTTCTTTCTTTCTTTCTTTCTTTCTTTCTTTCTTAAAACAATTTATGTGTGATGTGATATAAAACAAAATAAAAACTTGCATCTTAGAAAACATCTGTTGTTACTGTTGCAATATTATTTTATTTGTACAACGAAGAAAAAATAAATAAATAAATATATTAATAAATACTCTTTTGAAATATGCAATAATATTAGAAATATTATTTATTTTGTATTAGCGAAAAAACGAGTCTTGTCTATTCTTATCTTTAATTTGATTCTACTACAAAATAATCTTTATGTAAAGCAAAGATGTGCGTGTCACTGAAGATTACTAGTGATTCATCTATTCATTGAACTATGATCAAAATATATGCTCCTAAGAATGAACTCGAACGTGAACCATGATCATCGAATAATTATCTTCTTTCATAAATATTTTGTTTAACAGAAGATCATTTCAGACTTTTCCCATTATGTCACAAATAGAAACCTGCAGGACAGTTCCGAATTCTGAAAACTCTCGTTTATCTCGCAGGAATCTACTCAAAAACCATTCTCCTTATTGAATAAATGGCTTTTCAATTAATATTCAGTGTATCGCATCGAGTTCATATGATAATAGATCAAGAGCCATATATTTTCTGCTATTGATCCGAAGAGATTTCGAGCAAATTATCGTTCATTTTTTTTTTTAATTTCAACTTTGTTTGATTCCTGCAGATAACATGGATACATATTATAGAACAGATCAATAGCATCGAAAACAATTAATTAGCTTTCTCACATATTTTTTACCTATAGTCTATCATGATATGTGTTTTCTTACCAAAAAAAATAAAACCAAAATATCAATACATTAGTTTCGTTTGTTGGCAGGGTCTTTATCCTTAGTAGAAACATATTTTTTAATAGAAGATTTATTATATGATAGTTCTGTGGCTGGCTAGAGAGAGAATGGTTCATTACTTAAAGAAGAAAAGTTCGTTTGTGAAGAAAATAAACATTACGTTTTCCAAATGTGGAGTGGATTGAACAGCATTAGACCTATTTTCTTGCTCGACATAACGTCACATAAAAAAGATCTTGATATTGGCCTTCTATTTCAGTCTAACTAAGATGATTGAGCTCGAACCGATGCTTGTGATAAGTGTACATAGAGTTGTATTCGTGATTAACACTTCAAAGCGAAAGATTCCTGTTTTGACAGTTTCTATCTCACAACAAGACAATTTTTATTCATCGCATTTTCGTGTATAAAAACATGAGCGAGTACTCAAAAGCATTGGATATGTTGCAAAGATCTCTCCCTGCAATGCATCCACATACCTAAACTGCATTGATGACAACAATTAGACTATTCTAGAAATTTCTAGAACTTTCCAAAGCATTCGTCGAAATTTGAATGACTGGAATACGTTTGTCAATGTTTTTAATAGTGCAATTTTTGAATTTTAAGCAGATCAAAAGTTTTAGTCAATATATCACCAACGATTGGTAGAGATGCATTGATTAGCCACAATTGTCATATGATCAACGTAAAAAACATGAATTGATCAAGTTATAACTTTGAAAAATAATCAATATCAGTGTTTATGAGTTAATTGAGATGTATAGTATTGCCTTAAGACTTGTTCCTGTAGATATAATGTATATTTACGAAAGTCTTATTTGCTATTTAATTCAATGTTTATAATAATAGCAATATTAAATTAAGAAAAACGAAGTACGGAACTGAAAAATAAAGAGCAAATAGCAACAATAGAAACAAAAATGGGACGCCCGTAGATAAAAAACGAGAAAAAATGTCTGTTCGAAATGCAGAAATAAATAAGACAGATTCTTATTCTGGTGATCGATTATCTTTGAAAGCAACTATAGTCTCCGAGAGATTTCGTACTTCACATATTTCGTATTAGCTTAATCAGGCTAAAGAACATATGTGACTTCCACATTTCAACCCTATTGGAGCTGGACTAACAATTTTTTTTGCTTCAACAGATAAATTTCTTTAAATGTTTGCTTATATTGATTACGAAGTATTTGCTCCTTATAATATCTGTATTCACGTGAGCGTACATATGAGATCAGAGAGATCCTCGAACCCTGCAGGTAATGGTCGAGCAACCATACATGTATGTATATCGCATTTCTATCTGTCTGAGTTTTAATTATAAGTTTTATTTAGTTCGAATTTAAAATATATGGAAGCAATATTGGTCTATATAGACCAGCATTTGAACAAAAATATTTTGATGAGATACAAATATTGAATCAAATATTATTTCATGATGGATTCAATAAATAAGGAACCAAGTCAATTAGCATTAGAAACCAACATTATTCCTCAGTTATGATTGATAAAAACAGTCGAATCTAACTATTAACTAAAATAGATCTTTTTCAACAATTATTCAGCTTTATTATTAAATTATGAATAGATCTTCATAGAACTAGGAAGATTCTAGGACTGCTCATAGCCTCCCAAATGACGATATAATATCTCTTTTACTTAAACGAAAATCTTGTTTTATTAGTAGAAGCTTTAAATTTTCGATCCTTAAATAATTCTATGAATTTCTCTTGGGTCCACAGAGGCCCACTCATATAGGCAAAAAGCTTGTAAGTGCAGCTCTTCTGAGACTATTCGAGCTCACTGTTATTTTACTGCTCTAGTGACATGTTCTGGCTATGATTTTATGTTAACGTTTGTTTACAACCATCATAATGATGTAACTTGAGATTATATGAAGTCTTTTGAGATGAGTGTCCCGTATATAGAACACTCCCATGAAAAGGTTAAAGAGCAACAATAATACTAAACAACATTATGAAGAATCATGCAAAAAGAAAAGAATATTTTATCAAACTTTGATTATCATCGTGCAAAATGTTTAGATCAAATAGAATTTCACTGACCATAGGCTATTCTGTTAATAACATATCGTTATGTTTATTTTTATTTAGGATTATCATTACAAATAGATAAGATAATCACATACGATTGATATTAAATTCTAAATACAAAACTCATACTAAGGAAAGAAAAAAAGTTTGTGTTTGTCTTTAATCCATCATTGACATAGATAAGCATCGAATTGAGCCAAAACTGGTGGATTTTCTGATGTTTTATAAATATTTAATCTTACAGCTCGTATTAATATAGCTTCACCAAATAAAATAATTCGTTTATTTCCAATTGATTGTCCTTTAGCTGATGGAATATCTATCCAACAATTCAAACAATCTCCCCACATCATTAATCCATCAATAGACCATTGACGAATACTAGCACCAGCTAAACTTCTTAAATCTTCACGAATAATAACACGATCAACTAAGTGAGTTGTTGAAAATTCTAAGATACAATTATTATTTGAACAAGTAAAATTACTAGGCAACGAATTACTATAACAATTTCGAATAAAGTCACCTAATTCTTTATATCTCTTAGCATGATTAGGATCAACTATACCATTTTGATTAACAGCTAAATCTAATACTAATTTACAATTGCGACCAACAGTTGTATGATAAACATGAATGAGTTCATCTAATGGTCGAATAGGAAAATCATTTCCACCATAAAACCATCGATCACTAACTTGTAAAGTTGTTGGACATTCTGGCGGTGAAAAATATTCACCATTAGGATCTTCTTGATCATTAGCATTAACAGTTAACCATGTATCATCATCAGCATAACCAAATTCATTACCAATATTTCGAATACTATTATTTGTTAGACCAAATCCATTAAAAACTGATGCACTTGATTGATATCTTTCTAATAAAGATACTATTCCATTCTTTAATGATTCTGAATAACCACCATCAAACCATATTTCTAATAATTCTCCATAGTTTATCCATAATTCTTCTAATTGTTGTAAAACAATTGATTCATATGTTTGTTGATTAATTGGCATTTGACCAGGAGCTAATGGTCCTGGTTGAACGCGAGTATCTTGTACATTTAACCAATTGTTCCATACAAGTGAATAATATAATCCAGTTTTAATTTCAGCTTTTCGACATGAATCTATAAAACTTCCAACAAGATCTATATCTGCTCTAGGACTATACAAAATAGAATAATTATAGGTGATTGTTTCATTAGTCGTTAATTGAAATTGAACTTGTGTTGGCCATGTTGTAAAACCACAATTATGTTTAGCTACTAAAATAGCATATTTAGCACCGACATCTACAAATGTTTGTACCCAATTATCTGTATTTAATAACGAAGGATTAAAAAGTTTAATATCTGGTACTAATGATGGATTACGATTACAACCATCATATTCAACGGGTAGATATGATGCTATATTATAATGAATTAAGAAACCAATATCTGATTGTTCTAACCAAGATAATTGTGCAGGAGTTGGCCGTGCATCAAATGTAAATTTTTGTATCTTACATGGACGTGCTTCTATTGATAATAAATGGAATAATATTATAATCCACAAAGGACCCATGTTGTATTGATTGAAAGTTGTTGTATATCACTCGATTATCAACAAAACAAAAATCTAAGATAATAATAATAATAGATAGAAAAAAAAGGCAACTGACTATAGATTAAGATCAATTTGATACGAAAGTTGTGAGAGAGAGAGCTTAGTTAACTCGTTCACATGGTAAGAAAACTTGAAATTAAAAAATGAATTGAATCGATATGGTTAGATTTTAAGTATTTTAAAATATAAAATTGCTGTGGTTGAACAATGGTATACTGATTTACAATTATTTAATACTCAAAAAAAAAATTATTCTTAACAAGAAAAAAGAGGACACTACGACTGCTTTCAATATTTATTAAAATACTATCATCCTTTTTTTCTCATTGAAAACAATGATAAATTTAACATAAAGAGTATCTTATGGAATGCAACAACTCGATCATAATATTATGACGATTTTAGACAGAAGAGTTGGTAGCGCTGATGGGGTTACGCTTTATTTGGTTTCTTCATATCATTAATTGTATCGTTTTCATCAAAAGCACGCGTTTATATGGACCATTAGGAGAGAATAGTCAAAGAGAGCGAGATGGCTCACGATACACTGTTACAATGGAAAGAAGAATAAAGCATGTGATATGAAGAGATGACAAGACAAGGTTGAGTATTATTAATGAATAGTCAATTCAATCAATAGATAATAGCGCACAATAGACTCAACCAGGAACGTCACAACTATTGTAGCTGTATTTCTTTATATAGAAAACATTACAAAAAATAAATAATTTTGTAATTTTTTTCATTTCTCTTTAGTAATGATCAAAGAATGGAATGAAAGCTTACCAATCATCAAAACTATAGTGTTACAATAAAGCTTAACATCAGGATTTTCCGAGAATAGTACACACGTCAAACTAACATCGATTTTATTTCTAATCATTTTTTCGTACGAAATAACTACCATAAAGTCATATTCTCATGCAGGGATATTAATCTATAGTGTTGTTAGATTGTAGCTTGAAAAACATAAATAAAAGTAATTTTGTTCAAAAAAAAAACAAAAGAAACGGAAGAAGAATTCTTAACATATTATTAGATATTCTCCAGTGGATTACAGTTTCTTGTTTCATGCAGTGACTTAAAAAACTATACAGCTCCGTGGACATTCTATTGTATGGCGCTTGCATCGAATCGTATAAAGAATTTTTCCAAAGGCATTGCATATAAAGCTGATGAAATTTAACACAATGGCAACAAACTAATGTATAATGAATGTATTCATAAAATTGATGCATACGATATAAGAAAATCTGAAAGATAAAGTCAATAAATATACAAAATATAATTAATAAAATCTATTCTTAAAAAAAGTCTATATAATACAGAATGAAGTTTATATCATAGATATAATCACTAGTTTACGGATAACTAACCATAACTGGAAAATAGGTCTTTCCAGGTACAACCTTCCATATTTTCATTGTTAGATTGTTGACTCCAAAATCGATGACAAACATTGAAAAGAAGAAATCGTCACCATCACGAAAAATTCTATGATATTGTAAACCACAGCCATATTTTTTAGCCGGTTTGAAAGCAGGACTATAGTGTATTTGTTCCCATTCACCTGATCGAGCGCTTAATGTCGGTGATCTCAATAAACCTAAAACCCAATTTTGTTCTCCTAATGTGGTATCACAATTTAGTGTACCATCAGGAGCTTCAATTAAGTGATAATAGTAATCACCTGATTTGACCATACTATCTTCACCTCCACCAACACATAAACTTTTTGGGTTCCATGTAATATTCCATTCATTACAATCCAACGGAGAGAATATAGCATCATTCGGAAGATCATAACCAGCTACATCATAATTAACAAAATCTCGAGTACGAGCAATTCCACGAGCAGCTTTATTGTTAGGTCCATCCCAACCATGAAAAGTAATATAGAACCAACCATTCATTTTTTGAATGATTTCAGGTGTACCTTCATCATACATAGTCAATGTACAATGCTTTCCTATACCAGAACAGATTCTACTCCATAATTGTCCACCTTGAACAACTGGATTTTTTGGATTGGGTATAAAAGGACCTGACATTGGATCACGCCCAAATCTTGAATAATGACAAAGAGACCAGCGTCTGTTATTACCGATACATTGAGCTAGATAATGCCACAAGCCTGTTTCATTATCGAAAAAAAGAGCTCCATCGACTGCTGCACAATTATCAAAAGTTGAATTTCCAGGAAGTGCAACAACAGCAGGCTCTGACCATGAGTTTCCAAAATCTGTCGAATTTCGAACAGTAATACGTGTTAATGGTACGATACCATTACAAAAGTCTGGCGTAGGTGCATAAAAACCTTCTCTATAGAAAACATACCATCTTCCATCGAATGGTTTAATGTATGTACCTACATTCCACATTGCTGTTGAGTTTGGATCAGTATGAGGAGTAGGAAAAATTGACGAACTTATTTATTCTAATCCTGCTTGTCCTGCGAAAATATCGGCTAATTTTTCATCATCTAATTCATTCACAATTGTTTTATAATGAACGATCACACTGCAACAATGATAAAAGACACGAAATTCTAATCTATGTCCAATAGTACTCAAAAAGTAGAGGGAAAATATTTGTGGTTGTATTTTATTATAACCAAAATCAAGTCGTGAAATATTTCTACTTGTTAATATATAATTCATATCTGCATCATTTACTTCAACAGTTAATAAGTCCAATGGATCAGCAATGTTATTATCTACTCCTAGATAAAAATCAACACGCGAAGGTGCCAGAGTATTCCAATCTTTTGTATAAGGCCCATATGTAAGGTATCTTTCCGATGGATCTTGAGTGGTGACTACCCAAGCAGTATCATTAAAACGAGAACCTGTTTGATGATAAGGTTGTGTACCAGGATAAAATACAAGTTGAAGAGCGGTTACATAATAAAACAAGGATAAAATAAGCCATCCAATTGTATATACTATCATGGTCGATTGTAATAATTATAGAAACTAGGTTAGAAATATTCGTTTAATATTCGTTGATAGTGTTTTTAACAAATGTATGAAAATAAATTTTTATCTCTTTTACTTATTTTGGATATCTGTATATTTCTGATAAGACATGGTCTCGTTTGTTTTTCTTTCTTGCACACCCTTTTTCTATTGTAACATACTCAAGCATGTGGTCAACGGAATTCATAGTTTTAGATTTTTGTTGATACTAAATAATTTAAATTTGTCTTTTCTCTTTAACCAGAAGACTTATTTCGTATTTGTCTATCTAATAAAGAATACTATTAACTCGTCAACTCGTAATTAATAACACTCAGGGAATTGTACTTATCAAAATTCCGATAATTTTTTATGTTATTTAAGAAATTGTCATTTACTTAACATATCACAAGTTTAAGATGTGTTTGTTGATTTTGTTTTCTCTTTGCCTATTAAAAATAGAAAGTAAAAGTAAATAATTTTAAAATGCTATTTTGTTGAAGTGTACAGCCTATTGAAGATGTAAGCGATTTATGTGAAATTTTTAACAAGTGTCTATGTGAACTTCAATAATCTAAAATAATCAAAAATAAGTGTGAATTTATTAGTCTTCATATATTATGACCATTGTAGTCTTATGATCAATGTTTTACGATATAAATTTCGAATTTCAAAGATAATGTTAGACAATGACTCAAGCATATTTTCTAACGATATTAATGAAATGTTAGCAAAATGAATACTTTACATGCAAATATTAACATATTAAATTTATTCAAGTCTTGTTTAATATAGTTAATTATTTTCATAGCAATAGTGAGTAAGCAAACAATCACATGATATTCACAATATCATAAATTAATCCTCCTCTTCCGTTAGAGCACGCTTTCTCTTTTTTGATGCAGGTTCCTTCTTTGTCAACTTCTTGGGAGTTGATTCCGATTTTGATGAAAAGTCTTCATCGTCGCTATCATTATTATTTCTTTTCTTGGATGTTGTTTTGCCTTTCTTTTTCGTTGTCATTTTATTTGCATTGAACTCATTGAATGCTGCTGTTATCCTACAAAAGATAGAATCATATTCTCCATTCAATAGGTAATGAGAGAATTTTTTTTTAAATTGACTTTGCTCGATCTTCTGCTTTTAGTTTAGTAAAGTTATGTATTTCATGAATACCATCGAGTTTTTTTGTTTCAGGATGTTTCCAGAAGCAGTCATAGTGGTTCCAAGCAGTACTTTTATAACCTTCCTCGTCTTGCAACATAAGAGCCAATCGTAATTCGTTCTGTTCGATATTTTTTCTGCATTGGTGACAATTTGCTCTTGACGATTTTGCATAATCTGCCGTGCAGTGATAGCCAACACGACGGCTTGCAGATTCTCCTAGTTCATCGTTTTTAAATCGCTTCAACATTAGTAAATCGTATAAGTTGTAAAAAGAAGTTGTCAGCTACTATTCTTCTGAAAGATAAGACTAAGATTATTACAACATATTTTTCATCTTTTCTGTTAATGATGAATTCATTTCTTTTTGTTTGTCTTACAAAAACAAAAGAATATTTGATTCTTTATTATAATCAATCGTACTATCATCTTATGTGAAGCCAAATTAAATGAACAGCAGCACATCACACTTGTCTATATTGATAAACCACATTCTAAAATATGGTGTGAGCATTGGTATGACTCAGATGATTGAGCAATTACGAGCGCTAAGAGCAACGTATCAGTAGCTTATATAGAGAGCGCTATCAGATGTGAAGCTACTTTTAAGTCAAATAATATACATCGTGCATATTGCAGATCTCAATGGGTTGGGTCGAGCTCGGTCCAGCTCCCTCTGTGGGCCGAAATTTTTTTGAATGGAAAACCATGGGCTGACTTGGACTGATTCAATATTGCAATGGGCGCCTATCGGGTGAATTTTGAATAAAATATAAAATTTTCAAAAGATGTTACATATTTCTTACCACTAATTTCTTTTCGTAGATTGTTAACACTTTTTCTTCAACTGCTAGTGCTGGTTCATCACCACATACAAAACAGTATAAATTCGAAAAGATTAAATTTCTTTTGAAACAACAATCATCCACATATGCTGTTATTAAAAACGAAGTATAAATCGATGCATTTATCGGCGGCGATGGCTGAAATTTTACGATGAACTTTTTAAGAGACTTCGTAATTTCATGAAATTTTGAAATGAAAAAGAGAGAAAAAGATAGTAGAGAACTTATTGACAAGAGACCAGATGGTAACATCATCTCCAAAAACTGATTTGGGATGTCAAAAATTTTTTAAAATTGAATATCTATTTTGTATCGCCGTGACAACGGCTGTTTATATATATTAAAAGTTTTGCGACCATTGGCAGTGGCTCAGCTGATTGGCATACACCTCTATCTACGGGTGAAAATTTATTAGGTTTCTTAGGATTTACACAGAAGCCTTTTAGATATGAATTACAACTGCATCAAAGTTAAAAAGAAAATAGTTGCATGGAAGCAACACCTGCAGTAGTTCTCATAAAACTTAATATATAACTAAAAACAAAATACAGAAAAAAAGCACCATTCTTTCATTTTTTATAAAACAGCCGAAGGACATGAAAGCAATAATTAAGTTTCTATGCGTCTTATGTTTGATTGTATGTGCATGGGCTGCACCAGGTAGTTGAATAGCGATGAAGAAAACACAAGTATACAATATGAGCTAATATTAAATGTTTTTCTTTTCAGCTTTCAATAAACCGAACGCCTTAACTTTGGATCATGGTGTTATAGCAGTAAGTATATGCCGTAGCTAGTGAAGAACCTATACGTTGTACTCATGTCATTCACTTTTTCTTTACAGATCAATATATGTCCAATACCAATGTGCATGCAAATACAAATGCCATGTGATAACATCCAAACAGGTTATATGACTGTGAATGGTAAAAAATGTCCAATGTGTCAATATTGTGCTACACCCACAGTTGGACAATCATAAAATTTTAATTATAAGAGAGAGAAGGTATCTCTTACATTCATGAAAAGAAAAATTAATAAATAATTAAAATAAATCTATATATCATTATATCTACATGTTAGATTGATGATAAAGTGAACGTAGTATTTGAGAATTCATCTCATAAATAACTATTAGCATTGATAACTATAACACTTGCACAATAATCTTGCAAATATTTTGTATCGTTTTGCCATTAGTTTGTGAACTTTGTCTTCTATATTCCATGTTTTACGTACTTTCAGTATGTGTGGGTGTGCATAATAATAATTAGCAGAAGATATAAAACCACTAATGAAGTACAACGTAGAAAAAAATCGTCTTGAATGCGTAGATGAAATCTCTGATCAATCAACACAAAAGCAAAGAATCATACTAAAAATCTCTAGATAATGTGAAAATTGGTTCGATTGGCATGATACTATTACTAAAAAATATAAACTTATTTACACATTATAATGATATTGAATAGAGTGAAGCAATTAGGACACATTAGAATTTGGTCAATAATAGCCAAGTGAAAATCAAACAGTGACAGTTTTCTGTAATGGTATATCACTTAGATATACAAAACAATGAGAGAATTCGTCTAGGTATAAATAATGAAAATTTAAAAATAAGGACTGATTCAATAATTGAAAGAACAATTGAATTCATGATGACTCTTTTTCTTTTTGTTCTTATTACATTCATTCAGATTATTAAGTTAAAATATCATATTTATAGACATGAACATTGACTCTCCACGACAGCAGTGATCGGTTGTTAATGAAAGATAAAAATGTGTCGATGCAGATATATTTTTCGATAAAACTACGCTTCATTCTCAATCTGTTCGTACTTTTTCTCTATTTTTTGTTGCCTATCATAGTGTAATGATGTATCGCACAAACGATATGACATTTTTATTCTTATTTGAAGTAGCAGTAACAGCAATAAATACTGTTAGCTTACTTAATATTCATCTTATATATCATTCACATAATAATGTTAACTAGTCAACTATAGTTGATCATTGATATACAGAACAATTGCCATATATAATTGATTTTATAATTCATGCTTTTGAAGCAAGTCCATAACGACAACTCATCTATGTTGAACAGACAGTTTTTTTCAGCACTGGTAATGCATCTAATTGACTGAAAGGAAAAATCAGTCACTCTTTAACTAGTTAGATCACATCAATTTGAATTAGTTAATAGTCACTGCAATATACATGATGAAGCAATAACATGCTTTATTGACATAATTTATTTCTTATTGATGAACTCAGAAACATTCTTCAAATGAGCTAGCAGATAGATCCATTGAGCGATAGTACTAGCTTTGCAGGACTATTTTTTGCTTGAATCGCTGCAGTTGATAATTCTAACCGTTTGAAAAATATATTACTCGAATTCTTATGGTATATATCGACATCATTGAGTGCTTCCATAAAAGTTTTTCCACGAACAATTCACGATGATCCAACATTGGAAGATTACAACGTACCCAAAAAGATAGAGACTGACGTATGAACAACTCTAGATTTAGCAGCATTACATCTTAGAGATGGCGTTATCTTTGGATTTGACAATGAGTTTAAATACCGAGCAGACAATGAGTAATTCAAGAATTTGAAAAAACTCATTCGACTTGTTGATAATAACTGAAAAACTAATGATTTATTATCATATGCCGATGGACCATATTCATATTGGATGGACTTTTGTATATCAAGACCAGTACAAAAGAAAACGTTTTGTTCGACTAAATTTAGCTTTTCTACAAGCTATGCATCAAATCAAGGTTTGAGTAGAAGATAACAGAAGTGTTATAAGGCTACTATGGAATACATTCACTACCGCTCAACATCATGATACCATCACTGGAACTGAACTGCAACCGATCACATTTGATCATAGTATGTGTATAGTACGAGGAGCTGCACAAGCGCTCGATATCATTCATATAGCACTTGCTCAAATCACTACTCGACTGCCTTTCGCTTACTGTTCTTTATCGAATGTCTCTATTTATTAACCGCCGCAATCGTTAGGCAATAAAGAAAATCTCCTTGTTTCCATTCTTAACTTAGTAGGATCTATTTCAATTCAATTAGCATCAGTGGATAGTAATATCATCAGTCAACATACCACTAGCAGCACTATATCGGCTTTTGTTGCTAGTCAAAAGCATCAAACCACTTATGAAATATGATAGATATTCGTTTCGTGATCAATGAACAACGATTCTATGTGACACAATGAACATGAAAAAAGAAGACTCAATAACCAAAATAGTATATGAATTTTAGAGCCTTCAATCAAAAATATGACTGTTTCACTCATTGCTCGCACTTGAATATCTTCAAACACCATAGTAATCATTTCACAAGCATTTTATTATTATGCAGCTCGTGACAATAGTAACCCCATCCAACAGATTCTGATCATTAAAGAGGTTGCTATGACCTATATTATAGTCTAATCCCCTGTAGTTATAAATAGTATCTGGTGAGTCATATACCAAAGTTCGACTATAGGTCACTGACTACATGAGTGCTAATGTGTGACTCATTCAAGAAGTACCTGTTCTCGAGTTACATTATACTATTGGATCAATGCTCGTGATACAGAGATTAGTACTCGTTTCAATACAAACATTCGAAGCTAGAATATATATTATTTTCATAGACAGTAATGGTCGCAAATTTCAACCACGACAACGTAACTATCGTCATACATAAAACTGTGCTCAATTTGAGCCTCTCAGTGACAATTACTATCCAATGACGACGGTGAGGCGCACTAAAGATATTCAAATGAGCTTAATGGCAATGACAAAATTGATCACAAGGTATTAATAACATGTCAAATAGATCTATTGAAATTTATTTGCATTAATGAATATTCAAAGAATTATTGTCATTGAATGATATGAGAGACGATAGACGAAGAGTAATCATTGTCGGAGGACATTTCATACTATTAAATTCATCTCAGTTACAAAACGAAGGTAAACATTCATGGCAAAACTAAATCTATACACTATCTCTAGTTGAATTCTTTCCTACTATCATAAACACTGATGAATTCATTGCTACACATCAAATATAAGATATCTATTTGGAGCCATCATTACTCGACAACATCGATTCGAACACACTCATCATAAGCAAAAAAAAATACACTTCACATTCGATTTGCATATCTATTCATTCTTAACGAGCAGTCTGATTTCACTTAATCAATGATCATTGAGATGTTAAAGTCATTTAAATTTTATCTAATAACACTTGAACACGTCAGTTTGACGACTTAACAATCGATAGAAAATGTAAGACACATTCAATAACAATCGTAAAAGTTCACTGAGACAATTAATAACATAATACAGTAGGGTTTATTCAATGATATTTTAGTGAGTATTACATTCAGGGAAATTCGTACATGTATTACAATTTTTCAATAAATATGTATATTTGTATAGAATAATCTAAGTGTACTTAAATCAATAAAGATGATGAACATCTGATATATGTTGTTTGTTTTTCATTGTGAACACATCTATTGTCTAAAAGTATTATTATTTTCAGTTCTCAATTATTGTAAGATTTGTATCTTTCTTATCTGTAGACATAAGTAAATATTTTTTTTGCGTCTGTTCAATACATCTTATTGTGCAAAAAATTGAAATAATTTTTATTTTGTTTTTTTTATATACAATCTTAGAAATGATGTTTACCCCATATTATTGATAAACAAAAATCGAAAAAAAAACCAAAGAAAAAAGAAACCAATCAAGCAAATTTACAGCAACCCCCAGATGAATTTCCCTCATTATCATTTTGCCTTGGTGATGATGATGACGATGAGGATGGTGGTGATGATGATGATGGTTGAATTGAAACTTGAATGGACGATGTACGTCGTATTGATTCTTTACGATTTGATATTTGATCATAACCAATACTATTTTCTTTAATTTGTTGTAACAATGATTCATTTTGTAGAATACGTAAAATTAATTGTTTAAACATTGCTTGAATATTATCACCACGTAATGCTGATATATGATAAATTGGCATATTATGTGATGATGCAAAATCTTCAGAACGTTGATAAAAAATTCTTCGATAATGTACATCACAATTTGTTTCAAATAAATCAATTTTATTACAAACAAGTATAGCTTCAACATCATCTTTTCCTTTTGTTTGTAATTGTTTATACCAATAAAGTTCAGTACGTTCCAATGAATCAATATCTGTTGAATCTGATAATAAAAGTGCACCATGACAATTACGAAAATGATTATCACAACATGATTCATATCGTTCCATTCCAGGTATATCAGCAAGTTGAATAATAATAACATATTTATTTTCATATAATTGATCCAAATAACAAAAAATAAGATCAGGTCCTACAGTTGCTGAAGTATTTAAATGTACAAAAGATGATTGTACACCATATTGTAGACAACGAGCAAGTGTTGTTTTACCAACATTAGAACCACCAAGAAGACTAAGACGAATTTTTAATGTTGGTTTATCATTCCATTCGGATGGTATACGACCAGAACGAATATTAAATGAAAGAAATCTATTTGCAAATGCAAGTGTCTCTTGTTGAGCACAATGTTCTTCAATAGCATTTTTTAAATTAAAATTATGTACAAAACGACGATCACGCAATGGTTTATTTGTCATTGGAGATGAATTATGATCACGTAACCAACGTTGTAAAGCATATAATTCATATGAATGACCCTATATTATATATAAAATAAGAATATTTTCTAGTTATTCTGGTTGTTTGTTTTTTTAAATAAAACTTACATCTTCAATAAGTAAAACAGGATTTTGCATAATTTCTCGGGTTATTGGACAAAGGAAATCACGGGGTGGTGATGAAATTTGTTGATTGGTCATTGTTCTTTATTTATGTTTATTGATACTGTGTCTAAAATGAAAGCATACAGAAGCTATAAGGTGTTCGGTTGTTCGATGCATGATTACAAGCATGCCGTTTTTGTCATTTTTTCGTTTTCTTCGCTTTTTTTTTGCTTTTAAAGAGTAATAAGAACGAACAGAAAAAAAATATATATATTATAAAGAACAGAAAGAATATACGAGAATATGGTGCAATAGAATTTGAGTTTCATTATTGATTTGATCTTGTTTTAAACTTTCTCTTGTTCGTTTTCTGTTATGTTTCTAACAGCAGGGATATAACCAAAGGCTTAATATGAAGTAGGAGAGAATAAAAAAGTGACGCAACTGTTCGATTTTATACACTTCATATTCTTTTTTTTTTTTTTTTTACATATTTTCATCATATGATCATGATACTGATAATAATAACAGCGTGTACTCGTGAATGGGGAGAAAAAAAATGCGAGAATAGGTCGAGGATGTGACAGAATACATATAGATGCAGACATAAACTCACCCATATAGAGTAAGGACGTATGAAATTTTTTCAATAAATACTTAACGTCATTTTTCTATGAATACATTTTATAAAGACATGATTAGGAAGAAAATGTCGATCGAATCACATTTTGAAGGAAGGAATTTTTTTTCTTCTTACAGTACATTTTTACATTTTAAATAAATATTATTAACTCACGATGATTTATCTGAAGAACAAATATTCATCTGACAAAATTTAGGACATAAATAACGAACATAATCATTTTTACATTCATGCTCAAGTACATAATCACAAATATGTGCTGGTTGTTTGTCACAATGTACTAGAAAAAGAAAAAAGAGACACAATAGTTTGTTTTTTTGAAAAATTAAATAATTTTACCTGTTTCACAATTGTTTCCACTGAATGCTGGTAAACAGATACATAAACAATTAGAATTTAAATGACCTCCATTTTGACATTGTTTTTTATTACAATATTTATGTAAATAATCGTTATTATTATTATTTATCAAGGTTTTTGATTCTATTCTCTTGTTTTTGTTATTTTTCGTCGTTGCAATTGTTGATGAAATTGTTGATAAAATTTTACTATTTAATGTTTTTCGATTCTGTAAATGACCTTTATTTTGATTTGCTAAATGTAACATCCAAGAAAATGGTGGCATAGCTAATGTTGGTATTGGTTTTAGTAAATCGATTAATTGTTCTTTTGTTTTATAATCAGTAAAATAATATGGAACAAATGATGATGAAGTATTATTATTATTATTTATATAATTCATTGGTGGTGTTGTTGTTAATATAGGATTATGAAAATAATCATTCATATCAAAATCTAATTCAGAATTCGATTCTGATAAATATCCGAAATGTGTAGATGATGCTATTGTACTTGTATCAAATATTGACCATTCATCTTGATCTACATGTGTTAATATATTTGTTGATGGAATTAAGGTGGAAGTACGTGTTGTTGGTAAAGGAGAATTATTAGATTCAATCAATGGTGGAAATGAAGCATCATTTAAATCCCACCAATTAAGTTGTAAATCTTGTTGAGCAACTGCTAAACCACCAACTATTGTACTACTACTACCACCACCAAATCCTTCAAAATCAAAATGTTCCATAGATGAAACTTGAATACTTGATGAATCATATGGAACATCTGTGATTTCTGAAAATTCGGTTAAAAATGACGAAGAAGTACTAGTAATTGGAATTGTTGTTGTCGTAGTTTCGAAAATATAAAAATCTGTATCAGTATCTTCCCATATGGCATTATTATCATCAATATCAACAGTTGTACTAATTGACAGAGAAACAGTAGTAGTAGTTGCTGTTATTATAGTACTTATAGTCGTTGTTGGAGGATTTTCAATCATATGAATTGGAGGAAATGTAATAACAGCTGGTAATTGATTATGAAAAATACCTAAATATAATACAATTAATTGATATTGAAAGTATTAGAAGAAAAAAAAAAGTAAGAATTAGTACAAACCTATGATAAAATCAAAACTAATGCCGTTACATCTTAAATAAAAAACAAAAGAATTAGTTATTAAATGAAATTATTTTATCATACAAAGATTCTTGACAGAAAAATGCATCTGAACCAAGTAATTTATGAAGACCACTTTTAGCATGTATTTGTGGCCATGTTGTTGAACAATCTCGTGTGATTACTATAGTTTAAAGATAAACAAATCACTTTAAACAAAAACAAAAAAAGACCAAGATATCATTGATATACATACAATTATGATCATTTGGATTTCGAAAGATTACACAACTTGATATACATGGACGAATATACTTTGCTACATAACGTGGATCCAAAAATTCACCACAGCCAGTTGAACGAGCTGTACATGAATAGCATTGACGTAATTGACGAGGTTCAGTATTGATAGAAATCAATGGTTGACCTAAATTCATTTGTAATAGATAATTAAATATAGAACAATAGGAACAATCTACATTCACTAATCCATTATTTACTATTGATAATAAAGCTCTAATCATTCGAAAATCTATACGAAATAATGTATAGAACTCACCAGTATTCATCACTAGAGGAGTATTTCCTGCTAGAATAAATAATTGTTGAGGAGTAAGTGTTTGTTTGAAAGGTCGATTCAATTCATTTTTTATTATTTCTTTTCTTATTCTCGATGCGTCTGGTTGTTCATAAATACCATTATTACATAGAAAACTATCACAAAAATATGCTTGTATACCAACAGCTAATTCATGCCATCCAGTTGGTTTTGATGTCATATGACCATATGTCCATGAACATCCACGTATTGTTAATTGATTTTCATTTCGAAATAAAACACATTGACCATTACATGGTTCAGTATAAAATTGAAGAATAGTTGTATAAAGAGGTGAATTTAATTGAGTACTACCAGCACATGCAGCAAGTGTATTTTCTGAACATAAATAACATCGACCAGCAGCAGCATCAACAATAATTGTTGATATTGTTAATAGAAAAATAATAAAGACAAAAATTACTAAATGTAACTCAGTCACAATCATTCTTATCGAATGATATATGCCTGCATCTAGAGTACAAAGAAGACATATGTGATAAATTAAATATCTAATCGATAGCTGATCAATCTTATCTATTAACATAAACTCACGTTTTTTATATTTTGTTCAACCTTCATAAACTATTTTAAAAATACTCGACCTTGTTCTATTCTTATACCTATAAATATAAAATGATCGAATATGGATTTTTTTTCATGAATACATTGTTACATAGATTTTTATTGATTGTTACTATAGAACATAAGCTTACGAGCATTTACTAATTATTGTGCAAAACGTGTTTAGATACTGAGGTCGTAATCTTTCATATAAAGAAAGAACAATAGTGAACGCTAAGCTCTTCTTAGTCTTGTCTTATTTATGTAACAAACGATCAAGACACATCACCTTTCAATTTACATTTCACGTATTTGATTACACGTATATTTCTATTCGTTTAATCAGGGTTGACGCTTAGCAGTCAACATTGGTTGAGCTGTCGCGATTTTTTGAGAGAGTGTAAAGATTTTTTTTTTCTAAGAGAACGTATGAAAAATTTTTGGCTCCGCGAGGAAGACATAATCGAGTATCAAACACTTTAAAAGATGAGGACGGATAGGATTATTTGTCTGCTACGAAAATATTTCATTTTTTTTTATTGTGAGATCATTTCAGTGGTGACTCCTAATATAATTTCAATAGTTTATTGCGCCATGTCTCTCGATCAAGTTTTCAAGTTACACCCATATCCCAAATAAACCTTTGCAGTGTTATCGAGGGGCGCCACTGAATTGATTTCAACACAGAAGAAATGAAAAATTTTGAGGACAGAAAAGTAGCATTATCCGCTTCCATCCTCTTAGATAAAATATATTGTATTAATGTAGTATCAAGTACCTATTTCTCCTATTCGACGATGAAGCAAATAGGTAATATCTTTCCACCTCCACCTTATATAAAAGTCCACTTCTATATATTTGACAATTATGTTGTAACAGTGTTCAACATATGTGAAGAGTTCGTAAGAAAGTCTGTACTTGCTCAGCTCTGATCTTTTGTTTTTGACTAAGCGCATCGATAGAGGTCGCGCTATGATGATTAACAATAAATTCAATATCTTTTTTTATCATCGAAATATTAGAAGAATAATATTCAAAAATATTTTATATAGAAAAAAAAATCAAGAATTTCATTTAAATAAATATTTTATTTTACTCGACATTTCTGTTTTATTGAAACCTTTATATTGGAGAATTTCATGACGCATGTGATCAACAAAGGCATATATAATTTCATTTTTATTTCCAACCTTAAACATAATAATACAAATGGCGTCGACGTCAAATGAAACAATTTGGTCATCAATGGTCGCTACTCGACAACTTTCAATGACTTATTATACACTTTCAACATGTCTAACTGATTTCTTACATCGTTACATTGAAATGTCTTCTTCATCGTCACAAACAAATAATATCTCATCTTCATTATTTCATAACCTTGATAAAATATTATTTTCTTCTTCTGTCACATCAACAAATCAATCCCAACTTTTGGATGAATATTCCAATATTTTATTAAATATTTTAAAGTGAGTAAAACAAAATTCATGTTTTATTTTACTCACTTAAAATTAAAAAATATAGTAAATCCTAAATCCTATTCTTTCGGTATGAATATCGGGTGATTAAAAAAAAAAACTAAACCTTTCTTTTTATAATAAATAATTTATTTTTATCATTATAGGTAAGAAAAGTATCATCCAATAGATGATGATATATGTAGCTTGACGTCGGACAGTGGCCATAAGTTTGAATAAGATCAGACTTCGAGCTCTATCTGATGACGCTCATATATTGTTATCTTGCGTGTACGGAAACCGGCTTTCAGGTAAAGGGCCGTTGATTCTGTACCGCTGGTTAATTGGTAGTATTTCATATATTTTATATTTTTGTAAAACATATTCAAATATATTTAATCATTGTAGACAAAATTCTCTACATACGAACATAATACAAAATGTTCGTCGTCTTTTTCGTTTTGATTCATATCTTAAAGAATTATTTACAAGTGAACTTAATGAATATTGTCTATGTCAAGAATGTGATTGTACAATATCCAATAGGTAAAAGATGATTTCATTTTAATCTATTTGATTATTTATTTATTTATTTTTTGTTCTTTATTTAAGTATAACTGATGTAATTCATGATGTCGGTGAAATACGAACAACATTATTAATTGAATCTAGTCAAATATCATGTGCATGTTTTCGATGTGGAGATCAAAATCAAAGAAAAACATTAACATTTAAACAGTAAGTTAAATTTGAAAAAAAAACAAAAGATAAAAAATATAATTATTTAAATATATTTCTTTTTAATTTTAGATTTAGTCCTTGTCTTGCATTAATAGTAAATCATTTAAATATTAATGCAACTGATCAATTAACTAATTCACAAGGTGTAACATATGAATTATGTTATATTATTGAATTTGATTCATTATTACGTTCAATAATCAATGTATATTTACGACAAGGTTTGTTTTTAAACTATTCTTCAAATTTTATTATTAATATGTTTTCTTTTTTTTTAAGATACAGAATTTATTAAAGTTGATGGACAAGATATATCAAGTCGATCATTAACAATAAATAGTCAAGGAAAATTTCTTACACTTTGGTTAAGTCGTTCAACATCTGTTACAGTTCCTCAATCATCTGAATTAGTACCAACAGTTTCACATAATGTGTCATTTCTATCTCCACCACAATCAGCAGCATCATCTTCACAAATAACATCAAATTCTCTAACAAATAATGATGTATCTATTCCAAATGAAAGTATAAATACAATTGATTTTAGTGATATTATAATACCACCAATTACTACACTTGTTGGTGATGATGATGATCAGTTTTGGAATTCTTTAACCGAACAATCAACATCAGCTGAAAGTGAAATAATGTCAACAACAAATAATAATGATACTATTAGTGATATATATTTAACATTACTTCATTCAACAAATAAAGATTCAACACCAATAAAAACTCGAACTGAACATGATCGTACTGTAAATACACTTGCATCAGATATACTTTGGCCATTAATTGTTGATCAAACAAAACGACGTAATGATAAAAAAACTTCATCATCATCAACAACAACAACAATACAAACGACATCATCAAATTCATCAAATGCTAGTTCAACTAGTAAAAAAAATCATTTATATAAACAATTATCATCATCTGTTAAATCTCGACGAACACATCCGTATATGAATGCATAAACATTCTTTTATTTTATTTTGTTTGTATTTATACTAGAAACAGTTGAAAGTTTTTTGTGTCTGATTAGTGTTAGATGTAAATGTATGTTTAAAAAAACGAACAAACATGATTGATTTTTGTTTAAAGACAAAGACAAAAAAAAATAATAATAAGTTTAATGTATTTGAATGAAAACAAAAGAAAGAAACAAAAAACGCCATTGGGAGAATGGTTTGTGTTTTCAGATCATGGCCAATGTCGACGAATTATGTCAGTTTGCACGATTAGGTCAAACATTTAAAATTCAAAAATATTTACAAACCCATAGTGAGTAGTCAAAAAAAAAAAGACAAGAATAAAAAAACGTTTGACCCATGATTTGATTTCGATAGTCATCAATATAAATCATTCATAGGTGTTGATATTAATGCATTAAATTTATATGGTGAATCAGCACTTTCGATGGCTACTTATTACAATCAAATCAGTACTATTGAATATCTCTTAGCAAATAAAGCTGATCCTAAATTGTAAGTTTTATTTATCACACAAGCGTTGTTTTTTTTTGATGATGATATGAGTATTTTTTTAAAGACGTCTTTCTGCTGGACATACAACTATTCATATTGCTTGTCGATTAGCTAATGTATCTATTTTACATTTGTTATTATCAATAAAAAATAATAAAGAAGAAGAAGAACAACAACAAGAACAAAAAGATAAACATATATATGATTGTTTACGAATAAAAGATTATGCTAATTTAACACCAATACATTGGGCTGCTACACAAGAATCTGTATCAAAACGACAAAAAGTTTTTGCTTATCTTGATCAACGAATGCCTGGTGTGCTTGATAGTCGATATGATATTAATTGGTTTAATTCATGGGCTAAAACACATCCATGGGTTATCGAAGAGAAATTAACAAAGAATATACTTCCAATGTAAGTAGAACATTGCGGAATTAAACTTTTCGACTCCAAGAAACCATGAAAATTGTTTATCACCACTATATAGATATGTGCACGGGAAGCTTTTTTTTCATCCCTTGACTGACCAGAGAATCTCCTCACCTACCTTCTTTTGATTTAAATGATTGTTTTGCGTATAGATACTACCAAGTATCCTAGTAAAAACTGGATTCGTATTGTGATTTTCTCTAGAGGCTTCAGGTTTTCGAAAATCTCGTATTTTCGAACGTTATGTATATAGAGAATTCAACAAGGCTAGCTTCCATAGAAAAATTCAGAAGTTTTAAACAAAGCCTTTTCAAGATATGAAACTTTCAAAAGGCTTTGTTCAAAACTTCTGAGTTTTTTTAAGGAAGCTAATTCTCCAAATACACAAAGTTCAAAAATATGAGTTTCCCGAAAACCTGAAGCCTCTAGAAAAAAAATTAGTCAAATATCAATAGGAGTCTAGTTTTTATTAGAATACTATATAGTATTTATAGGCAAAAAAATCATTGAAATTGGAAGGGGATAGCTAAGAAAATTCTCTCGTGAGATAAATTTTCTAATCCTTACCTTGCAACCAGTTTACATGACGGGCTACTGGGAGTTATCTATTGATAAAATATATAGCAAGATTTTATAGAAAAATCTCAATAAATCTCGTCAGCTGTGGTTTATTCTTATCCTACTCTACTTTGCACATCTCTACTACCGTACACACTTTTTTTGTGCTATTTGTTGATGAAAATGTCTCTTAGATATTTTTTTTTCTCGAAACTTATGAATCTTTAAAGTATTTATTACTTAACATACGAAGAATAAACTTATTACTATGTGAGAGTAAAAATACTTGACTTGTTTTTTTTGTTTTACTAATGTGAGTCTGATGTAAGATAATAATAAATATAGATATATCTAATAGTTTTTATTCGACAATCAGATTTTTTTTTAAAAGGTTTATTTTAGTTCTCCAAAAAAAATTCTACCGAAACTAATAAATACTGATAAAGTCAATCGACAAAATAGCGAACAAGGTTCATCTTTACCATTATTAAATGGATATACTCCTGTGGATATGATTTCAAGAACATCGTTTCATGACTATGAATCTACACCAAGAACACCACCAACAGCAGCAGCAGCAGCAACGATTGTTTATGATAATGATATTGACGAACAAAAAAAACGAATTTCATCTAAAGTACATCTTGTAAAAATCCATTTAGAATAATTAATTGATAATATTTATTTTTTTCTCATATACAATAGATTGAACATGCTTCTCAAACACCAAAGTTACCACTTACACCTATTACCAGTCGTATAGTAGCTTTCACTCATCATTATATTTCAAAACATGAACATCATACTAGTGAATGTCATAAACCATCATCAGTAAGAAACATAAATACATCAAAAAGATAAAAATATTATTACGATATTTTTTTTTCTATAATCTATACAGAAACAATCATCCAGTTACAATAATATGTCTCCTAATTCACAAAAAACACGTTATTTTCAACGATTTAGTTCAATTATTAAAAATTCCTTATCACCTCTTTCTGATCGCTCAACATATCATGCTGAAAAAGCTCATATTATACCAACATTGAATTTTCCTTATTCAACAACATCTATTGAAAATAAACGATATGATTATGAAGATACAAGTTCACCAATATCAAGTAAACGACCTTCTCATAATTTACTATCAAATATTCTTCCATCAACAACATCATTATCATCATCTGATCAAAGTAGTCGACAATTAATAAAACCATTTAATTTTGATACATCTTGTAATTTACAACATCATCATAATAGAACAACAATTGAAACATATACACAAAATAATGAATCAGATAATGAAGATAATGATTATTTATGCAAATCAACTTCAACTTTAGATATATCTTCATCCGATGCTTATACTTATGATTTTTAGTAGTTTTTACTTTTTTATTTTCTAATCAAATATGTTTGTCAGATATTTTATGTTTTGTAACATACATTGACGAACCGCATTGGTTTTTTTTCTTTATATCAGATATAAACATGATAAGAAACTATTTTTTCTTTTTAATTAAAGAATTGATTGGTTGAAAACGATTTATGTTATCTATACGAACGTAAGATCAATCGGATATTAATCATTGTCGTTCTGTATTTCGCATTTGATATTCAACTATAGTTGTCGCGACTGTGTTTGGTTCAACGACAATACAAAACGATTGAGTAGTTATGGCTGTTTGAAAACCAATTTTCAATGCTCTCCATGTACCTTTTGCTAATTTCCATGCTATTCGACGTATCTAAAAATATGAAATAAAACAAAAAAATCAAATACAAATCAGAAAATGATTTTCTAATAATACCTTTGAATATTCATGCCTATTATTACTATTGTCATTATTATTTTCGACTAAATATACTCGGTCATTTTCACTTTTGCCAACCCTATGTCGACGACGAAATTTTGTCATCACAATATAAACGTTGTGTCAATAGAAACAGGTCGTGTGATACACGATATAATACAGAGAAAAGAACGATAATAACAAGAACGAAAAAAAAAAAGAAAAAGAACAATCTATTTCAATGTTAGTTTATGATTCTCAATGTCATGCATATCAGTAAGATTATTTCGTATAAAATCAGGTACGATAGTTGAATATAAATGTGAAGTTTTTAATAATTCATTTTCACGAAAATTAAATAATGGTGGTAAATGACGCTTATTTGGCAATAAAATAGAATGTTGTTTTAATTCAGAAAAAAAATCAGATGCAAGTGCTGCTTGACATGTTAAACGTTCATTTGGTTTATATTTTAATAATTGTTCAAGTAAAATTAATGCTGATTCTTGTGTACGTTCAGGTAAATAACCACGTAATGTACGTGGTGTAAATGTAATTACAGTTAAATCAACTGAACCTGTATAACGTGAATTCATTTCACGTAATTCATCTCGTGTTGGTATACCAATTATTTTTATTATTCGATACATTTGATCACTTGAATCAATACCACGAAATATAGCATAACCATTGAGAAATTCAGCTATACAACAACCAGCTGACCATATATCAACAGCTGTTGTATATTCCGTACAACCAAGTAAAAGTTCTGGAGCTCTGATTTATTAAAAATAAATACAGTAAGATGCAAAAGTCTTTACCATTCTCGAATAAGCAATTTTTCTGAAAAGTTTTAGAACGAATTTTTTGAAAATTCTCTAGAAGATGAGAGAGATCGATATGTAGCTATGTAAACCATAAATCATCGTAAACATTTGTGCTTTGAGAGAAGAAAGTACTCTGAACAACGAAATGTTACTTCGCTGAAAGCGAAGCCGAAAACTATTTTACAGTACCGAAAGAGCAACAATCGATTGCCTGATAGAGATCATTCTTTGGGCTATCAAATACAATATCGCCTAGGTAAAAGAAAACATTGGACGGGCACCATAATAATTGATCTCACAATGTCACTGTTGTTCAGTACGAAGTCCTCGGTGAATTGGTTCGACGAAAAAAATGAGACAACGGTGAAAATTGGACCCAAATAATGGTCATTGACAGGACCTTCCACGAATTATTTAGAAAAACGATTCACCGAGGATCGAAGAATTCAAGACTCGGCGTCAAGCGAGTCCCAAAGAACAGATAGAAAATCATGGTATAGGGCGGTGTAAGTGTCATGATCCTGGTCGACTGGTATTCATTCAAGAGGATATCGATGATCATTATTGCATTCAAAACATTGCAGATCATCTTATCTGCAATTCCAGAAAGTAATTCTACCTATCTTCGGGATTCGAGAAAGACAAGGGTCCCGAATACAGAACTTGAGCAATGAAACAATTTTTACTTAAGGAAATATCTGGAACGATCGGTTGGTCCTCAAACACTTCCGACATCAATTTAATCGAGAATCTCTGAGCGATCTTCCAATGTCGTGTACAAAAGCAGAAACTGTAAAATCTCGATGAACTAGACCCTATTTCTACGTGAGGAATGCTACAAAATCAACTTTTTGGTCATTCTAAATCATTTGGTAAATTCAATAGAATCGTGATGAGTTAGCTTTGATTAATTCTTAGGAAAAGAATCACATATTAATTGTAGTACTTTGTATTATGTCTTATTTATGAATATGATTGCGTTTTGTATTCACTCTGAGAAGTAGTTGAAATGCTGAGGACAAAGGTTTTTGCACCTCACTGTATATAATCAATAGTTTAACATGAAATATCTACTTACCTATAATATCGAGTACATACCTAGAAAAAAACAAGATAATTTTTTTTTTGTTCCAAAAATTTCGTTCGATTTTAATATTATTTTTACATATGAAACTGATTTTTCATTTTTA